TTCTAATATTCTTAAAATGAATATTTCATACTTGTAATTTTAACAGAAAGCCATTACTCCCAATCTCATTTATGATGACTTAATATAATTTTAGAGTTTTATACCTAAACACATAGCCACAAAATGTCATGGAAATAAAATTAATCTTACTAGAAAGTAATTGTCTGGTATAGCCAAAATTTTCATTCAGATAGAATTCTACAACTCAGACTTATTTCTTGAATGAGACAAAAACAAATAATATAAATACAAAGCAAAGTTACTTCCTATTCATAGTGCATTTTGCAAGTCAGTATCTCCTTCCTAGTCAATTTAAGTAGCCTGAACTTTTAATCCTGCTTTCTGTTGCTATAACAAAATACCACAGATTGAGTGATTTATAATGAACAGAAATTTATTTAGCTCACAGTCCTGGAGGCTGGGAAACCCAGATCATAAGGTTTCATCTGGTGAGGGCCTTTGGGTTGTGACCTACGATGGCATAAGAACAGAAGGGTGAAAGGGCCAGCAATCACATGTGAAAGAGACTGGAGATAGCTAAACTTATTTTTATAACTAACCCCCTTCTCCAATAACAATATTAATCCATTCATGAGATCAGTCTGCTCTTTATAATCACCTCATATTAGATCCTGGATCCCATCACTTCTGCAGTGGGGATTAGGTTTTCAACACATGAAGTTAGACGGACACATTTAAACCATAGCACCGACCATGGTTGGGGACTGACTTTTAAAAAATAATAATTATAGAAAAACTTTAATGAGGAATTTAGAAAGACTGCAAAGGAATTCACTGAGAGGAATTGGACCTACTTTTATAGAATGAAGCAGTTAATGTAAGAATAGATATATTAAATTATCAATACTGCTGTTACAGATACAGTCTAATTAATTATAGCATTGACTTTGAGTTTCTCCTCATCGAGCTAGTGGGATACAGATAAGAATATGGGTACAAGTACAGACACAGTTAAGGAGGATATAAATATATAGTAATTAATAACATTTAAGAATAAAAATTATTTAATGATGGAAGGATATGATGAAGAAGAAAGAATAAACATAAAGCATTTGTTAGACCCACTAATCTTTATTATAAATAATTTAGAATCAGACCCTAATGTCATAGCATGTTGGTCAAGCACAAACCCAAGAAAGACTAGTACATTCCTGTATACATCTTGATCTGGCTTCTCAATTTTTTGATTTCCCAACTTGATTTTGGTTTTCTACATCTCACAAAAGATCAGCCTTGCCACTTTTTAGTGTCAAAGCTCAAACATTAATCTTAACGTGATTTACTACTGCAGTTGCAGTGCTTAACTAATAGGTTTTGTCTCTTACTACTACCTTCCTTAATTGTTCTTCATATCTATTCTGCACAAGAGAGTCCAACACGGTTTACAGCAGAGATTATGGAGTAAGATATATAAGCATTCTACTCTTGGTTCTATTATCTAGCTGTGTGACATTAGGAGGATATAAATATATAGTAATTAACATTTAAAAACTTTAGTTTTTTAACCAAAAAGTGGAGCAAAATAATGTTTACCTCATTCAGTTGCTGTGAGGAACAAATAAGATAACATGTTTCAAACGATGGAGTTTTGTTAGTAAGCATATTAACAATTACAGCAGTGTGCTTTTGTTCTTATATTGGATTTTCACTTCTCCATTATAACTCTTTGTGTGTAAATATATTTTGCTTTTTATTATTGCAATAAATTATTTACCAAAATTCCATAGCTTTAGAATGGAAAATAATATATTCAAGGTCAAAGGATACCATTAAGATTCTCTGTTGATTCAAAAATGATCTTTTTCTGGTTAATTCCTTCGTATCACTGTTATCCACAATATAATTTAGGCCAGGCATAATGGCTCATGCTTGTAATCCCAGCACTTTGGGAGGCCAAGGTGTGAGGATCACTTAACCCCAGGAGTTGAAGACCAGTCTGGGCAATGTAGCAAGACCCTATCTCAAAAAATAAAAATAATAAAATAAAATAAGTTATGGATTTTATATTCGAACATATATAACTGATTCCTTCCCTCTACATTAGACTTGCACATGGAAATAATATTAAATAAACACAAAAGAAAGTAAAAGCCAATTTCATATGTAAATCTGCAGCCAAAAAAAAAAAAAAAAAGCCAGGCTAGGCACGATGGCTCATGCCTGTAATTCCAGCACTTTGGAAGGCTGAGACAGGAGGATCACAAGGCCAAGAGATGGAGACCATCATGGTCAACATGGTGAAACCCTGTCTCTACTAAAAATACAAAAATTAGCCAGGCATGGTAGTGCGTGCCTGTAATCTCAGCTACTCAGGAGGCTGAGGCAGGAGAATCACCTGAACCTGGGAGGTGGAAGTTTCAGTGAGCCGAGACTGTGCCACTGCACTTCAGCCTGGTGATAGAGAGAGACTCCATCTCAACAATAACAATAACCACAACAACAAAACGTGAATTGCAAATTCTGGAAAGATATTTTGTATAATGTCAGGATATAAAAGAAGATTAAAGGTTTGACTATGTTGGAATAAAAACACTACACACATACACACACACAGGAACACACACATTTGAGCACATATAGACATGATTAAAGAAAAATGATCAATATTTTTTTCAATAAATGAGTTTATCATCAGATATATTAAGTAGTATATTGCCTTACATTATGATTATACTATCATATGTACTTTATAGACATCCCAAAATAGTTATTTTACAATTTCAATGATGACAATTGGTATTTTTATAAAATATACATAGAAAAAATTTAAAATAATCATTTTGTACCAAATTAAATATTGGTTGGTGCCAATGATGAATCATCTTTTGGAAGTAGTGCTAATGTTCTTATACTATCCTCTCAACCCATAGCCAGTATAAAGATACTGCCTTATCTTCTGAAAAATATCATTATTACTATTTTTACCATATATTTTACTCCTTCAAAGATAAAGTGACAGATCTATAATCAAGTAGACATCACAGATTTGAAAAATGAGCCAACAAAACGCCTTCTTGCTTTGTTCTTTAGTTATTGAAACTACCATATAGAATATTTCTCAAATAAACTTTCAACTGTAAGTGACTAAGTCAAAATAAATTAATGTGTCAGGTACTATTCTAGGCACTGTCTATGGTCTGAATGTAATTTCCAAAATTAATGTGTTAGAAGCTTAATCCATAATGCAACAATGTTGGGAGGCGGGCCTAATAAAGATGTTTACATCATAATTGCTTTGCTCTTATAAATGGATTAAAGAAGGATTTCAGAAGTGTGTTCCTGCCTTTCCACTTTCTGCCATGTGATAGTTTCTTTCCCCTCTGGAGGACATAGCAGCATGGTGCCATCTTAGATATAAAAATTGAACCTACTGGTACCTTAATTTTAGACTCTCCAGGCTCCAGAGCAGTGAGAAATACATTTCTGTTTTTTATAAATTACCCAGTCCATAGAATTCTATTATAGCAGCACAAAAGAAACTAAGACACCACTGGAAATAAAGGACAGAAGAGAACAGACATTACATTCTGTTGTGGGGAAACACATAAAAATATAAGTAACAAATAAGACTGTGTGTGTGTGTGTGTGTGTGTGTGTGTGTGTGTGTGTGTGTTTCTAAATACACATATCTTATTACTGAAGTTCTCATATCTTATTACTAAGATGTAAACCAGTGGAGTAATATATAGGATAAGGTGGTCCAGAATGCTCTCTGTGATTTAGTGACATATGAGCAAATATTAATGAAATGCAAGTGAGATCTAGGTAAATATAATACACGTCAGGTCAAATGTCAATGAAAGCAAAAGAAAACAAAACAAAAGCAAGAACAAAGAAGGAAGGAAGGAAGGAAGGATGGAAGGAAGGAAGGAGGGAAAGGGAAGAAGATAGAAAAGGAAGAAAAGAAGACAATACTTCCCTTCAATGTAAACTGCCTTTTTTCAAATAGAAAGCCTGTGCTATAGTCATTAGGAGAAAAAAATTATAATCTTTGGTTGTCTCTGTAATTCCTACAAAAGTAAGCCAAGAAATCAATAGTAGAACTGTTTGAAAAAAGAGAATATTTGATTTGTTGCTAAGGGAAAAATGTAAAAATCTCATAAAATTTATGTACCATATAATATACATATAAATAGCCCATCAAAGAGGGCTATTCAGAGTTACACAATGTTTTATTAAGTAAAAATGTAATTAAAATGTAATGCAGGAAGAAAATATGGGAACTTACACAAAAAGAGAACCATTATTTGTGAACACGTGTATGTGTATATATATCTATATAGAGATTTATAATCTACTAAAAATATTAACTGTTCTTTTAATTCTTTTGTGAGTGTTGAATGTTGCATTATATAGATCAAAACATATCTTCTTAAAATTATATAGAAATATACCTAGCTATTTAAATCAAATTTATATTTTATAATTTTTAAAATGTTTACATATCTTTCAGAGGTTAAGTTTAAAGACTACCTTTTCCACAAAGTTTTCCTTATTTTCCCTAGCAAAAGCTAGTATCTAAAACCTCATTTCACTTCATACATATTTAATCTGTATCTATGCTGATGTACATGTCTTTGTATGTTTTACAATTCCTAAAATTGTATGTCTTGAAATAGTGAGTGCTAAAAAATGCTGAAGAAATAAGGAGTTATTCCGAGCTATAGACATTTTTGAAAGAATGCTGTACCGTGGTCATATTTTTGTGATTGTATCTTTGAAATAAAATATGCTTCAGTATACACAGAAAAAAATATGTAAAAGTAGATGTTGTAACATATACATACTCAAGACATATTAAATAAGTAAAATTTAGTTGTACCCCCCAAACATAACATTTGATTTTATATTCATAGAAGCAAAATCAAGTTGTCTCTAAACATTTATAGAGGGGAAATCAGATCATTTTAACATAATTACTTAAAAGGTTTTGGCAAAACATTGAAAAGTCAGAGTATAAAATAATACAAATTACTTACAACCATTTCATTTAAAGACACCCAGCAATCTGGTGGGAAGTCCTGCAGTAGTGGTACTAAGAACTGAAGACAGCCATCCCAGTGGCACAGAAGCAGCATCATACCGATGAGATTAAAAATTCTCACCACTGCACTGGCGAGATCATACGTCATGTGGAATATCTGTTGACCAAAATATAAAATCAATCCTTATAATCAGTATTTTAGAAAAACCAAGCATACCATTGATCATAGGCATTGATATTGTGTAGTGTAAGTACTGATTTAATAAAAATATGGGAATACTTGCAGAAATAAAAACAGATTACATTTCTTTATTTTTACAATGAGGTTGACACTCCACTTTATGAATATTAAAGCCAACTATGTTTCATGAGCAACAGAGATAACATGAATAGATAAATGTATGTATTAAAGAACATTGATGTTGCCAGTAGTTTCTCCTTATTGTTCTTTTGCATATTTCAGCAAAGTTACTTTAAAACAGGGTAGCAAAATTTACACGTAATAGGTAGCTTCTACTCTGCTTCTCATCCCTTGTTGTATTAATAGATTTATTGAAACACAAAGTACCCAAGGACTGAAAACCACTCATAAAAGGAGTTCAGCTGCAAAATATGAAATAAGATTGATAATAAACTGAGGTTAAATTTATAGGTATGTGAGTGGAGAGATTTCTTTAATTGTGAATACTGAACAAAAATAGAGACCTTTGAGATATAGGATACCTGGATTTGGTTAAAAACAATTGTATATCACTTAAAAAATTCGTAACTGTTGGCTGGGCACGGTGGCTCACACCTGTAATCCCAGCACTTTGGGAGACCAAGGCAGGGCGATCATGAAGTCAGTAGATTGGGAGCATCCTGGCTAACACAGTGAAACCCCGTCTTTACTAAAAATACAAAACTTAGCCGTGCGTGGTGACGCACGCCTATAGTCCAGCTACCCGGAAGGATGAGACAGGAGAATCGCTTGAACTCGGGAGACAGAGGTTGCAGTGAGCCCAGATTGCGCCACTGCACTCCAGCCTGGGCGACAGAGAAAGACTCCTTCTCAAAAAAATAAAAGAAAAGGAAATATATCATAACTATTTCCATCAACTTTTTGTATTTTTATGGTACAGTCATTTTTCAGTTACCCTTTCTTGTTTGTATTTTCATGAAGTTCAATACGGTAGGTTAGATTATTTCAGAAAACACAAACATGACAAAGCAACATAATCCATCAGAATTGTATAAATGGAAACAGATATCCATCTGTATCTACTCATTTTTCTAGAAATTACAAGAAATAGATTCGGAATGTGAGTCCTGTCTTTAGCAGTTTATTGTGCTCTCTGGCTGCTAATAAGGTTTCTTCTTATATATTACCTAGTCTAGAATAGTAAATCCCACTTGGGAGCAGAACTACATTGTAGAATGAAGTTTCGTTATAATTGTTAAGGAATTACTGCATTAATAAGTACAATTAAATATGAATAAGTACATATAAACACAATAATTTGAGATATTTAGAATCACTTTTTGTATAATTCACCAAAGTAATGTGTGTTTTGAAGTAACAAGGCACATTTGTATTGAAAAATTATCTAAAAATATAAAGAAAACAAAAAAAAACTATGTTTGGTTTTAGAAATGGTATCTTTGTAAGAAAACATCTATAATTCTTAAGATATGCATACTCAGAGATAAAATGACAGGGCATCTGTGATTTTCCTTTTATAAAATAACCAAATCTGTCTTTAATTAAATGTTTTTCACATTGATGTATTTCTATGAGCATTAATTATTTCTTTAAACAATCTTTTTGACATAGTCATTATAGTGAGCAAAAAGATTATTCTTTATAGGAATATACAGACTGTTCTGAATTCTTTTTAAAAGAAAGTTGGGGGTTCTAGATTTTAATGGCAAAACATCACATATTTTGATATTCAGACATCAACACACAATTTATTTTACAGCATTAAGAACTTTATTTTTCTGTGAGCTACTTTTTATTTTGGTTTTAAATTTGGAAAACCCATACTTCCTTTTGGTATTATTCCTTCTGATGTTTCTTGGTCACTGAATTCATAGAAACTGTACTAACAATAATTTCTCATTAAAAGTTATATATAAAACATTATAAAAAAGATTTCTGCTGGTAAACGTTGGAGAAAGTCAACACAGACTTAGATTTTTTGTTGTTGTTTGGTAATAGAATTTATATTTTTATCTTAATATATCCTAAGAATAGGATGCAAAATGTCTTATGGGTAAGGACTGTGTTTTGTTGGGAAATTGTGTAAAACTGCAGAATATAAACTTCTGGAAAAAACAGAATATAAACTTCACTAGCTAATAAGCAGAGGCACCTTTCGGCCCAACTATTCAAAGCAACTAATAACTATCTGAAAATATGGCAACATCCACAAATTATAAGCATATAGGCAGTGACCATCATCCAATTATCAGGCTTTAAAGTAGAGTATGGAATGGTCTAGAGAACTAGCATCGATTCTTAGTAGAGCTGACTTTTTTTTTTCACATTTTTTACTTCATTTTGGGAAATTAGATTCTTTTCATGGGCTCTTAAAAGATTATTTATGGAATTAAGATATAATATGCTAAGTTATTCAATTCCTTTAAGAAAACTCTATTATCTCTAAACTGTTCTCTAGAAACACAGAACCACTATTTTCATAGAGGAAGTCAATGGGGATATAAGATCATTGATAACACATTAGAAACACTTTTTTGTTTTGCTTCTATGTAAACATGATCTATTATAAGATAATGCCTAGACTCAAGCCTATCTACTAACAATTATTCCCAATTCCATAATGTCAGTTAGCTAGTGCTAGTGCTGTTTCATACAGTAATTCTACTATTTTTAGAATACTTGATAACAGCTCATGTAATTAATTTTATAAACAGTCTTCCTTACGGGCATTAATATTATATGTTCAAAAGTGATGTCACCTTTGCAGCTATCCCAAAATTTAACTTTGGAGAAGGTACAAGCAAATTGGATATTTTTACACTGGTTAATAAGTAGAGGTAAATTTCAACTAGTCAAACCCATAGATCTTCATCTTTATTTATCTAACTGATAAAAGAGCATATGTAAAGTATATAATATTACTTGTGATGAATATGTAAATGTGAATATTATCTCAACCTGATCTGATTGTCTGTTGAGCCCTCATAACTAACATACTCTGGCAGGCATAATCATTACATATGATCTGAATATAGAGATTAATGACCCTCTTTAAACTTTAGTCAAGAAAGATTTGGAATAAGAAGCCTACTTCTGTATGGAGCTCACACATCTGTAGATAGATTAACTAAAGAAGGAAGTATCTGATCTAATTTATGCATAGCCACAACTTATTATTGATAAGGGCAGCTTGTAGGATAAACCTAAGTGTGACTTTATTCACCTTACTAAACAAGTGACTAATACTATTGATTAATTACTATTTTTAGATTTTCTTCATCTATGAGATGGACATCCTTAAACAATAAATTTCCATATAAATCAATTGTCTTGGTACTACTGCATGAAAACTTGACTGTGTGAAAAATGGCACCATGAATGACACTCAGTAAATTGTTACTAGACAGATGAATAAGTTGAAGGAATTTAATAATAATAACATAAGTGACATTTTATGGTGTTAAGAGTGTACCACTTTTGTTCCTGTATATTAAACAAGGGAATTAAAACAAAACAAAAACTTCATTATTATTTTCCATCTTCCAAGTAATCTGACTTGAAACCTGACTTGAGGGCCCAGGGTTGAGGTAACAGAAAGAAAGGCTCTTCTCACTCACTAGCAATATACTTTCAAGTGGAACTTACAGGGGTCAACTGAAAAAAATACTTAAAATAAGTTTTTAAAAAACTCTTAAAACTTTTTTTTCCCAAATCTTGACTACAAACAATGTCTGTGGAAGGCACTGTGCTTTACATTTGTTCAGCTCAGGACATTGTGCTGTTCATGTGACCTTAATAAGAGGAAAGATCTGGTCACAAATTCTCACTGAAAATTTTTTAAATATAGTTTTAGAATTTAATCTATTTTATCTCAATGGAGTCCAATAACTCAAGATAGGATAACTAATTAACTTTCTAAAACTGAAAAATGCTCTTAGACATTTTAAGTAAGAATCCCAAATCCTACCCTAATATTTGCAGAATTGCTCACCATACGTGTAATTTTTTGTAATATTTTCCCAGGAGCAAAGTTTATTTCACCCTGTTTTTAAAAGGTCATTCTAAACTACACTATACAGCAGATATCCATAAATTGTCTGAATTCTTTTAAAATGCTTCCATATTATTTCCTGATGAACTGGATTCATGGGTCTTTCAATATAATAGCTTGTATATAAAACTAGTGATCTTACTTTATGCTTGTTTGTCCAATTTTGTTTTCCTTAACCAAAATACTGTCAAAAATAATTGAAGACTTTTTGTATTATGTACTAAACTGTCCTAAGTCTTTGACTTTACAGACTGGGAGCATTTCTGGGTTGGTTTGTGTGATCTCAATATTGATTCCAGACTTCTTAGTATACCTACGTAAGGATCAAAGTAAGATTAAGAAAATCAAATGGGCCAAAAATGGCTCCTTGACAGAGAACATTGTATTTAACAAGGTATAAAACAAGGTTGGGTACTTCTGTTTCTCTTTATAAATTGGCACCTGCATGACTTACTATATTTTTTATATGGAGTGTATACATACCATCCTGACCCACAATTTTAAAAAAATAGCTACTCAGATTGTTTTACTGCTAACATATATTCAAGGGCTCAATATGTAATAGTCCTAATCAACAATAAAATCAATATTTTAAAAGCCCTGTTACACCTCTGAAATTCCTGCCCTGAAAGTCATACCACTCTTCACAATTATCATCAGTAATTGGATGAATCTTATCAGTCCCCTGTTCTAATTAGGATTTTATTCTGACTGAGATTACCTTAATGTTCAGAAGGCCAACCATCTGGACATATAAAAACTATCAGCTTCTGTCAACAGTTAAAAACCAATGATCCACTCTTCAACCTCCTCAAAGTATTGTCCCATCCTCATGCTCTTGAGTGCTTTTTACCTGTATTCTTCTTTCCACTATTTCTTCCAAAACTCCTACATAACCAATTAA